CCGTGCCGGGCCCAGCTATACATTTAACTTCAAATATTCAGTCATATGGTATGTGGCCCTTGATTTGAACTCTCCTGTGTTGAGGGTGGACCTGGGTGTTCATTTGTTTTCTTTAATGATTTGTAAGAGTTAAACATTTTTTAGGATCACGGCTTTTTTTCCAGTTTGTGATTTGCCTATATGTTTGTTTCAGTTTAATAATGTTTTGTGATGATCAGAAATTATACTTCAAATGGATGGATCTCATTGCTCTTTTGGCTGTGGGATCTTCTTTTTGCTCGAGACCACTTTGGCTGTTCTGGGTTTTTTGTGGTTCCGTGCAAATTTTAAGGTTGTTTTTCCTATTTCTGTGAAGGATGTCTTTGGTATTTTGTTTTTGTTTTTGTTTTTGTTTGAGACAGAGTCTCGCTTTGTTGCCCAGGCTAGAGTGAGTGCCGTGGCGTCAGCCTCGCTCACAGCAACCTCCAATTCCTGGGCTCCAGCGATCCTCCTGCCTCAGCCTCCCGAGTAGCTGGGACTACAGGCATGCGCCACCATGCCCGGCGAATTTTTTCTATATATATATACATATTAGTTGGCCAATTAATTTCTTTCTATTTATAGTAGAGACGGGGTCTCGCTCTTGCTCAGGCTGGTTTCGAACTCCTGACCTCGAGCAATCCGCCCACCTCGGCCTCCCAGAGTGCTGGGATTACAGGCGTGAGCCACGGCGCCCGGCCCAGGGGCAATTAGGTTTGCAGGAGCGTGAATTCCGTGGAACCTGCTAGCGAATTTTTCCTCCTCCTCCCCCATCCTTTGTCTGTCTTTGAGGATGAAATATGTTTGCCTCAAGTTCATTTTATGTTCATCCATGTATCCTCTACGCACTTATGGAGCGCCTACTGTGTGCCAAGTCCTGGGCAAGTTGTTGGGAGCAGAGTGGTGAGTTATAGAGGCCCAGTGTGTGCTCTGATGGCATTCCAGGCTAGCTGGGGGATCTGTAGGCTGCACCCTGTTGCAGGCACGTACCTGCTGCGGATCGCACCGTTCCGGTGCCTGCTGACAGTGTCTGGCTGTGAACACCCGAGACCCTCCCCCTCGGGACTTTCCTGTGTGTGGAGCTGGAACCGCCCTCAACAAGTGAGCGATGGGTGAGAGTTGGTGGGTAAATACCCCAGCCTCCTAGCCTTTCTCTGGGGGCGATTCTGGGATGTGACCCGTAGAGTCTCTTGCAGGATCCCCGTTGAGACTGAGCCCCAGTTGCCCAAAGCAGCCACCTGCTCTTCCTCCTACCGGAGCTTTCTGGATTGATCTCGAAAATAAATTCCTTACGCTTGAATCCTTGGCCTGAGAGAAGTTTATCTCAGCTGTGTGCACGAGCAGACTCTTGGAAATAAAAACTGAAACACCTATGGCAGCTCAAGCAAGTCTGGGATCCTGAGAGCTACACAAGCGAGGAAAATGTCTCCCTCCCCGCTGGCTTTGCTCACTCTGCCACGCAGCCCTGACTTGTCCATCTCCTGTTGAGCTTGTCTAGGGAATTTTTCATTATGGCCATTGTAACTTTTAACTCCATAATTTCTCTTGAGAGATATCTGTTGCCAGGCTAGATGATGCCGTGGCTTCAGCCTTGCTCACAGCAACCTCACAATTCCTGGGACTCAGATGATCCTCCTCTGCCTCAGCCTCCCGAGTCAGTCTTGGACTAAGGCATGCCCACCATGTCCGGCCTAATTTTTCATATAATTAGTTGGCCAATTCATTTCTTTCTTATTTATGTAAGATGGGGTCTCACTTTCTCATGCTGGTTTCGAAGTCCTGACGTGAGGATCTTCGCTCGGCCTCCAGAGGCTGGATGACCAGGCGTGACACCGCGCCGGCCCTGCTACTTTTTCAGAAGATTGTTAGTCTACAGCAATGCTGTTCATTTTTGTTGCTATTCGTAACCTGCAATTTACTGAATCATTTATTACTTCTAACAGTTTTTTTGTGGGATCTTCAGGTTTCCCTAATAGAGTAATTCCCCTTATATGCGAATTCTGCTGTTTCATCCAGTGTTCGATCTCGGTCAAACCATTAAGGGGGAAATTACAAAAATAACAATTCGTTAATTTCTCTGTCTTTCCACATTTGAGCCGAGAATAGCACCTCAGGTGTTAATATGCATCCGTTCTGATCCTGAGAAATCTTACCCAGCACCCTCCACTCATCTGCCGGGATGGTGATCCACCCCTAGTCATGTGTTTCATAGCGTTCTGCTGCCTGCGACGCCTTAAGTGGCAGTTTGGTTTTAGTCAGGCGGAATGAGCGTCGTTCTTATATGGTTATGTTCATTTTACTGTCTGCTACTTTTCCTAGCGTGCTGGCGTCTTGATTGTACGTCCCACGATAAAGGAGGACTGTGTGTAAAGAATCCACGTCATTGCAAGAGTGACAAGTGTGCTTTTTCTGTCTGTCAATGGTGGACTTTTATTGCGTTGTCATCTTGCGTTAGTCTGGCGAGCCCCAGCAGCGCTGTGACAGAGTGTGAGGGTCGTTCGCCTTGTGTGCTGAGGATCTTAGTAAAGGCTTGCAAATTACTTTGTTTATTGTTGTTGTTCAGTAGTGTTGGCCTTGGGTGTTAGTCCATATATAGGGCATGTATTGTGCTGGCTATCCTTCTGTATCTAATTTGGTTGAGGTTTTTTTTTTTTTTTTATCACGAAGGGACTTCGAATTCGTCAAATGCTTTTCTGCATCTTTGAAATGATCCTTGGTTTTGCCCTTCATTCGTTAAGTGAATAGATCATGTTTATGATCTGCATACATCAAACACTGCAGCCCGTGACAATACTACTTGATTGGTAAGGACCCTTTTAAGATGCTTGATTAGGGCCGTGGTATTTTGTTGAGGTTATTGCATCTTCTTCATGGGGATGTCCTGTAGTTTCGTCCTCTGTTACGCCTTGTTTGGTTTTGGTTAGGCAATGCTGACTCTTTAAACTGATTTTGGAGTGTTTCCTCCCCTTCATGTTTTGCAGACCTTGAGAAGAATAAGTATTATTTATTTATTTAAAGAAAGAGTCTCACTCCGTTGTCAGGCTAGAGTGAGTGCCGTGGCGTCAGCCTCGCTCACAGCAACCTCAGACATCCTGGCTAGCAATCCTGCATGCCTCAGCCTCGGAGTGCGGGACTGACAGGGCCATGCGCCACCTATGCCCACTAATTTTCTATATATTTTGATATTAGGCCAATTAATTTTTCTTTTTTTAGTAGACACGGGTCTCGCTCTTGCTCGCGTCGTT